TTCAGCTAAGTCCCAGTGGGGGGATATATGCATGAAAATAAATTACTACACTTGGAACTAATTAATTCCTTGATTGGCAGACTCAGCAGATAAAAGCCAGAACAGGGTAATGTGAAATGTCTTTGGTTTTCAGCCTCAGTTGTACCTGGCCAGGAACTGTAGTTATAACTGCGACTCTTCCACCTAACTCTGTAGCCTATAGGCAAGAACTGAACTGAGGTGAAGACAAAAAAACCCAACCAAAAAAGGTAAGTATCCGTTCAGGCTTCTCTTTGCTGTAATCCTGTGTAAATCATCCATGTAACCAGGCAGGGGCCTAGCAAAATACCAGGGAGACTTGCTTGTTAGGCTATCGTAAGTTTTAGCTCCCTGCTAAGATGGCTGCCTTATCATGACTGACAAGACTACAATGGTTTCCTTAATAGTGTGCAGAAGTTAGCAGGCAGCTGGGGCTAATCCCTTAAGAAAATGTTCTCCTGCTGAGGTACACAGTGAAATTTGAATGCTGCAAATAATTTGAAGATTATTGTTTTTAAATGGTGTTAATTCTCATTCTGCTTGTTGATGCATAGGTACAGGTACAGCTTAGCAGCGCTACCCTCCTGTAAGAGCTCAGAACACAGCCTTAACTGGTGCGTGCCAGTTTCTTCTGGTAGGTGCTACCACTGTTGGTATGAGAAATCTAAGTTCAGAGTCCTGAAGCAGACCGTGGCCTCACTTCTGGGGACAGTGGTGTGAGGTAATCTTTTGTGAAGCTGGACTTTTGTGTTGCTGTGCCTGCTGCTGTGTGATATTAAAAGTCACACGTTCATCTTTATCTGCGTAAAACTTGAGTTTGTGAGACTCAAAGTAAGAGGGAGGGAGTGTGAGAGTCTGGGTGTTCTGTTAGCGCTGTGAGCTGGCCACTGAGCACCCAGCATGTTAGTGGGACATGGACTGGCTGGAATCTAAAAGGTGGGGTACGTATCCCACAGTTAAAGTCATTGTCTCTGTTGCTGTCTTTCTCCCTTTGAATCCTTCCAGTGTTGAGACTGCGCATGTAGGAGACAGCTGGAGCTGGCGCTGCTCTACGAACCCCTGCATGGGAGCAGTGAAAAAGCTTGCAACAGACTGTGGCTATAGCACCCTTCTTCGAGGCAAGGATCTAAAGTAGAAAGACAGATTTAAAACTGTCTTACAAAGTCAAAGGGCTAATTTGATGGAGAACAAACTCAGCGTGAGGAAACGACGTGTGCATACTCCCGCGGAAGACAGACAGGTAACCGAGTTACACATGTTATATAAACACTAAAGGGATTTAGGCAAGTGCATGTAGCTGTACAGCATCTTAATGAAAGTAGGCAGCATAGTAAGAGTACGGATTATCTCACACCGTACAGTTGCTATGTGTAAAAAGTGAAACAAAAAACCCCAGAGTTTTTTTGCTAATATAGCACAGTCAAAGAAGAAAAAGAAAAAAAGTTGTTTTAGCAGGCACACCTCATACCTCAAAGTCCTGACAGGCTTGGGACTCTCATGTGAGGCTCTTTCATGTCTCTTCATTTGTACTTTCTTCTCTATTTAGACCTGGTAAGATTTTTTTGGTTTTGTTGTTGGTTTTTCTATTTGCTACCATATTACTCTGCTAAAATAATTAGCTGAAATGGAAAAATATTTTAAAGTAAAGTAAGAAACCCCTATTTTCAGTTAAGTAGAAAACTAAACCACCACTATATATCAGTACATAAATCCATATTAGTTTGGAAATAACTATTTGTGTCTGAAAAGCGTTAGCTGCTTGGCAGCGTTCCTGCAGGGACAAAAATTGACTGCAAGTTACTTTCAAGAGACGCACTGCTTCGAAAGGCCCTGTACCAACACGTGACAGCGAAACACTGGCCTGGCTTCAGCGCTCCCACTTCTAATCCTGCTTTGAGCATATCCTGCTAGTTCCCTGGGGTAGGAAAAAAGAATGGTCATTCGATGTGCAGTTGGGCTGTCTTTGGTTTTCAAGCAGATATTGGTGTTATGGCTACTTTATTCCCCCGGCTGATCACTTGAATTTTAATGCAGGTAAGTTATGCAGTAGATTTCCCACAAAGAGAAGAAGAGATTTTTTTTCTATGTTGTTGTGGTGGGTTTTTTTTTGTTTGTTTGTTTGTTTTTTTTTTTTTAAAAGAAGTTAAAACTAGGAGATGTGATACCAATAGCAGCACCATTTCGGTCTTTTTTTCAGGATGGCAAGAGTGCATAGTTGACTGTAAGAAGTTTTTCAGCTTCTGTGGATAACGCTTTACCAAAAGCCGTACGAAGAAATGGAGTAGTTTGCAACTGGCCCTTGCATAGTCTAACATGTTAAGAGTTCGGGTTAAAAACTACCCCAGTTTTGTTGGATGCACCATTCTCTTTTGAGACAACATTTTCTCACAACGGGTAAGGATGAGTGTACTTGTACCACTGGAAGATTTACTTGCTTATTTTAGTTACATCACTGGTACAATTGTTCAGCTCAAGGAAATAACGAGCCCAGTACTGTTTTCCATGCGATTTGAAGATGACCAAAACCAAAGTGGCTGGCAACTTGGAACAAAACGGTCTGTTCATTTACATGTAGAACACAAACTGTTTTCAGTGTTGCTATTGTGAAGCTGCAGCTACAGCAGATAGAGTCCCAGGTTTAGGACAGCATTTTAAGCACTATGAAGTAATTAGTTCAGTAGTCCCAGATAAAAAAATTTAATCTCTCTATAGAAACAGTGCACTGATTTACAAATGTGTTCATTTGGTTTTCAGTAATCCGTATTGATGCAAGTACAGCAAGCGTTACACAGAGCAGATCCCTCCCCTGCCCCTCCCGGGTCCTTTTGTCCGTAACATAAGAACTGAAACACAAAAGGCACCAAGCAAGAACTTACTCTAACAGAACTTCAATATGACAAGACAGAGGTCAGAAATGATTACAGTGTTAAATATCATCCTAACAATCTGAACCATTATTTAAAATAATTAATTTCTTAAAAAACAAATTTGGTGTTTGACTTTTCAATAGTTATAAATCTGCAAAGGTTGAAATCAACACTGCACATTTAGTTCATTTACATCGGTTTGAAAAAACCTGCAGCCTTCTATACATGGTTTATACAGGTTTGTGTGTGTGTGTTCTTAAAAAAGTATCAAAACTGTAGAACTTTCAAATATATTTACATTTGCCTGTTAGTTACACTGTTATCACATACAGCCTTTTCTCGGGTTTTTTTCTTCACATACACAGTGCATGGATGTGTAGAAACAGAGCTTTATATCTTAGTAAGTGGATATCTCTAATTTTTTCACTGCCTTAAAATCTAGAATTGGAATAGAAGGATGCTTGATTATTTATGTATTGTCTATGCAGGCCATGAAGTATTTTGAGAATATTATGTTTATAGCACATACCAGGTCTTTAGACACTTTCTTCCTTTTTTTAGTCAAGACTTGACTTACAGCTCACATTATGCTGTGAATTTATTCTAAAAGAAAGAAAAACAAAAGAAAAAAAGGAAAAAACCCAAACCTATTCAGGCTGAGTTTCTTCTACTCACTTGCATACAGAAGCTTGGACTGACATAAGAATGGTAGGGAGATTTCTCTAGGTTTTGGTACAGTTTGGGGCAGTACTAGTCCATTAATGACGTGGCAGGAAAGTGTATTCAATTCCTGCAGAATTCCCTGGGAATCTTAAAGAATGAGATGAGAAAAAACTTTTTTTCTGCAAGGTGCAGGATGACCCAGCCAAAGATACTGATCAGGCTGTGAATTTTCAACCTCCTTGCCTAGCACTCTGTGGTCCATGAGATCTGTCATGGGGCAGGTTGTTCCACGGGCAGTAATCTGGAAGATAACTGCTGCACTTCAAAGAATTCTGCGTATGGTGAATTAAGCCACTGCTCCCTAGCCTCTCCTAACTTTGGACTCTTAATCAGGGGAAAAGGGCAAGGAGGGAAGGGATTTTCTTTTCCCTGATGAGCCAGGTGAGAGTGCTCACTTTGGGTGTACGAAGTATACAGCTAAATCTCCGTTGCTACTAATTCTAAGATCATTTGAGAGGTGCAAGATTCCTAGTAGGGAAAAGCATTTAGATTTACATTTAGAACCAACCAAACAAAACTAAATCGAATTTATACCAAGCTGTAAAAAGCCAAAGTACAAATCAAACAAGAATTGGGCATTGTTGCAGTTTCTCCTGGCTGAAATGATGCAAGCAATGGCTCTTCAGTTCAAAGCCCTGCAGATGAATCTTTCTGGATAGGCTGGAAAAAGCAAAAGCAACCCTTACGAGCTGGTGTGGGAAACAGGAGCTCTGTTTGTTAGGGGAGTGCTTCACTGGTCAGCTATCTTACGGTACAGCTCTTTCTTACTTAGTGTCTTTAGATTTCACAGCAAACCTCAAACAGCCTGTAAAAAGTCAATTATCCCTAATTTTCATAAATGTAGGCTAGTAGTTTTAAAATATATGTATATATTTTTTATATATGTATATATTTATATGCCTATATATCTATCTAGCCGAGATAGATATATACACAGATAATCTATGCACAGCAAGCCAAACATACAAAAAATAAATACTCTCACCCCTCTACTGTATTTACAGAACAGATCTTATAATCCAGATTTTGTTAATAAATATTTCTAAACTGCCTGTACAGAATTTTTTTTACTTATGTTGATGGATAGCCACAAAGCATATTCAACGTATTTACAAAATATCTATAAATATAGTCTTAAAATAAAGCAATAGCTACTGAACCTTCAGCCTGGCTGGTTATGTACATTGAGTTAGTAGCTCAGCTGTCGCTTATTCACTATCACAAATGGGTAGTGCAACAAGTTAAAATGTGTATAAAAGATTATACATACAAAACTCTCACATCCTTTGGATGTTTGCAGTTCATTATAACTTTGTGGTTACCCTTCTGCAACATAAATAACGATTAAAAAGAAGAAGCAGGTTCTGTGATCCAAAGCAAATTTGTTGAGCATGTTGTTTGGAGCGGTGACTTCTTCCTCATGGCAACCCGTCATCTTCTAAGCTTAATGCTACACGCTGGGAAGGGAGAAAAACACACTTGAGGAGACAGTTCGTGACTTGTGAATTTTGATGCATTGGAACCAAATTCTGCTACTGTTACTAACTTGTATTTCCTGTTAAAAATCTCATTGTTGTCCCTTGTGTAATGGTGACAGAAATCTATTTTTGATCAGATTCTTTTCCCCAAATGGGGTTGCTCACTCAAGTGTTACTAAAGAGGTGTGGGAAAGTTTAATTCACATGTGAGTTAAATGGGTAAGGTTCCTTGTGACAGATGACACTTTCTTCTAGCATGATCTTTAGATAATACAGGGCATTACCTACGTGCTTGCCTATAGAAGCGATATTGCCTTCACTCACTACTTACGGATCTTTATGCTTTCTTCTAAAATACAGTGCAGTTACAACTGCCACTGCTTCATCTCACCGGGGCTGCTGCTTTGAAGGAGGCTCCTTTACAGGCAGATTGCCACGCGGAACAGGTTCTCTTTCTTCTGCATACACAGGACTTGCTATCAAAATGAGCTTTACAAAAAGCTTAATCTTGCCAAGGCAAATTCCCTTCTTACAGAACCCCATTCCTCGTTCAGAGGAATCTGACTCTCCTTTATACTGTTGCATTATACAGAAAATGTTCTCCCTGGTTTGTAGAGAAACTCAAGTTACCCTTAAGGTGGTTTAGACACTTGGTAGCAGTCTAAGCACAGATATAATGGAATGCAGTAGAGGATAAGTAATCAGCTGTCACATACGGAGCTCTTGAGATTGCTAGCTTTACACTTGCTAGCTTACTACGTGTATTGATTAGGGCAATTATTCTTCATTTGAACAGAATACCTTACTACATAGGCTGCTACATTCTAAGACAACTGCATGAGCTGCCTAGATGTTTAAGCTTCTGCCTATTCCATGATTATTAACGAAGTTCTGGTTTTTGTCATTATACGCCAAATAAGGAACACTGTGATCAGCTGGAGGCAATTCTCTATCTAAACTCTCAAGAAAATAAATTAATCTTCTCCATCAGCAGTTTCCTCAGATACTTACTGCTGGGTAGACATGACCAATTTGGGCAGTCCGCCCAATGTGGATTTCATCTTCATCTTCCTCTTCTGTTGTCTTCCTATACACTGGATTATCAAAATTCATGCTTTTAGTATTCTTCCGTTTCCAGTTTCTCCAGATGAGGTATCCCCCCATGCACAGCAAGCCAATGACCACTGACAGAAGGGGAAAGAAAGGGCTGTTAGCCAGCACGAATCTGCTGCAATCTTCCCACGTAGATCTCCATCCTTGTAGCCAGGCTATGTTTCCCCATTTCAACAGTTCCTGTAGTCTTTCCCACCCCAACCCTGAAAGTCAGAAGAGTGTATTTACACCAACATTTTGGTAGGATCGCCTTCAAAGGTTAAATCAGATCAGCTTACCGACAGGAATGACAATTCCAATAACAGCTGCTGTCACAGTTGAATCAAAGCCTTGGTCATTATTCGCATCTGTAATTACAGAAGTAGTTCTGATCATTTAACTCATTTGCTGGTTTTAAAGCCACATCTAAAGAATGTTTTATATCAGTAACCATGTTGTTCTGCCCATCAGAAAGCTTTTGTAATCAAAGAGTTTATGAAAAGTTCCACAATAAAATTATTATGGAGAAGATAAAAAGCATATACAGACTAATCTGGGCTAAGCTGAGCTGTTTCTTCTTAGGAACGATAACCAGCCCGGCCATAAAGTGCTACTGCCCTCGTGGGATTGCAAACTACACATCAGGAGAGCATGGCCAGTTAAGGAAGTGCTCCCAACAGTGTTACTGGACAGAGAAGCTCTAACCAGAAATGAGTAAGTGACTGTACTTGGGCCTCTTAATTTTCAAGCACAAAAAAAAGGAGATCAGTTTTAAAAAACATGACATTTAATGGAAATTCCATGCGTGGATCAGGGGATGCTGAAGAGTGCTCTTAAAAATCCACAGTAGAACACTTTCTAGTACTGACACAAATAATGATTTACTGAGCTGTCAGAAGAAGAATGTAGATCAAAGCCACCTGCACGGCTTTTCTTTTTAATTGTTTTTTTTATTTATTTAAAAATAAGGAGTTAGTCAACACATATATCACTTGTTGCTGCAGTCTGCCTCGGCATGCAAGAATACCTCAAAACTCGATATTGTACTTACAAGAGGAAAACAAACAATTATAGGGAAAATAGTTTTTAAAAAAATCAATCTACTTTTCAAGTTCTATACTTAAAAATGTTTGCTCTAAGCTGCTACAATAGAAGATCGGCACAGAAAATTTATTTTTGCTAAAATATCAGGAATTGAGAGAGGAGGAACTAACGGTAGTTTGTCTTTTGAGACACCAGTTCATGGAACTTAAAAGGCAATTTATCCTTTTAAAATTCCCTCTGGCAGGTTGTTTTATTACATAGTTATTTACTTAATAATAAGCCAGGCTATTTCAAATGTGGACAATTAAAGCACCTTGCTTCCATGGCTTATTAAAAAGTTAATTATTGCATTTGAAAGGAATTTGCACAAAAAGAACTTAGAAGAGTGAATTTTAGAAATTGGATTCTGCCTTCCCACATGCAGTACAGAGCGCACTGCGTCACTATGGCTACAAAAAGGCACCCTGGTCAAACAGGAATGGTTGATTTTTGCTTTCCAGATGCAATGGAAACTGCCTGTTCTGCTCAGTGAAGTATTTTACTCTCTTTAAAACCATCTAGATCTGTTTGAAGTCTTGATTGACAGTCCTGAAGAATAAAGTCTTCACTCTGGATTAGATTTTTTTTTTTTTTTAAATGAAAAGGAGTTCAGCTTTTCTGCTTTGCCTTGGCAGCACGATCTAGAGGGATTACTTGCTAGCACTCTGGTGGTAAGCTGGTGTTTCATCCCACACTCATTGTGTAGGGTGAACTTTATGAGAGCCTGTTAGTGCTCTCCACTGGGATACTCTTCTAATATTGTAATGAAAAACTTCACAAATGTGTGTCATGGATGAGGCCACATTAACATGCAAAGCACAGCCATGCAGAACAGATGCAGCTTGTCATGAGCTGCAGTAATTCCAAATGTCCAGCAGGGCTAAAGCTGGACAGGAGGCATTTTTCACCCACAGCTTGTGCTGGATCACATTAATAATGAAACAGTTAAAATAGATGAAGTGCCTGTGGAATCATCCATGTTATGGTATGCAGCACTACAAACAGCACAGAAGCTGGGATGAACTAGTATTGGGCACAAGGCAAGGACTAGTCTGAACTCTCAGGGCCTCATCTTTAGAGTCAGCTTTACGTATGTTGGATGAAAACCCGACACAAGTTCCTTAACATCCCAAGCGACTGGAATCACATCAACCATCATAACAGAGATATTGGCAGAAAGAGTACCTGATGTCTGCCGCTACGCAAGAGATGTGCCTGCATCTGACCTGTTTTTAACTCAGACCTCCCACCAGTGCATGAGGCTTTGTGATACAGTGTATATAGAGAAAAAGGAAAGAGGAATCTCGTTCTTACAGTGCTGTGATAAATTGCTATTTCCAGTGGTCATCTCAGAATCTATAAGGACGGATGTGGCAGAAGGTAAATGAAAAGTTGGGGTGGTAATTGTAGCTTCTGATACAGCTTTGGGGATGGCTTCAGTGGTGTTATTGGCACTGCCAGTTACAGTTGCGATGGTCGTGGTACCAGCAGTACGGGATGCTGCGGTTGTAGAAACCAGTACAGTAGTTGAAGTAGTTGGAAGATCTGAAAAGCAAGAGCAAACATGAAATTTGGTAAACGTAAGCACACAACGCAAATGACAAATGGTGATATAAATCTGGGGAGGGCTGTTATGTTTACCAATTAGACGCAGAAAGCAAATTCCAATTATATTTACCAGGTAGTCAGACTATCAATAGTTCTTTGCCTAAAGCTACAGAAATGGTTTCCTGAAGTCAAGCTTTATTTATTCATAGTAATAAAGCACTCTGGATGGAAAGTAGTTAAGTTAAAAAACTTAGGGGTTTTTTTCAGTACCTCAGAAGATACTGAATTTGTACCAGGAACTATTTGCATGTTAGAGAAAACTACACTGAAACCACCCGTCTCTTCAGGATATTATCAGCAATGACTGTGGCCTCTCCAGATCCAGAATCCATAGGGCAATAATGTGGCAAATTTTAATGATTTATTGACCATTCACACTTCTAGTGCTGGGCCTTATCCCTTTTTTCCTCTTCCTGCTCTATCTTCTGGTTGTGCTTTAAGCAAGTTTGCAGTAAAGGACACCACAATGCTGCGTTCAGAAGGCAGCGAGTATGTGGAGTACAAAAGCTGGTGTGTGTTCCACCACCGGGGAACATATCCACTCCGAGTATGACATTGCTGGAATAGGGAAACAGCGACGTGATTGTATTTACCTTTGTAGCATTTTTTCATGTCAGGACCCAGCCACATATTGTCAGGACAGGCACAGGTATACTTGGGAGAATGGGGAGAGATCTGGGGTGCAGGAAGACACAAGTACTCACAGCCTCCATTTGGCTGGGGGCTGAGCTCACAGGAATCTGGAGCTGTTCAAGGATGGAAGAAAAGACAAGTTATTTTTCTGGTTATTTCTTTCTTGTTCTTGGCAAAGAAGTGTCAGGTCCTCTAAGAAGACTCTCTTGCACTCTCTCTCTCAATTAATCAGGCTGCTTAATCATCTTTACAGTTTGGAGAAGAGTGAAACCTTACAGACAACTAGAAAAACAGCCCAAATATATAATGAAGGGCAAGCATCACGGTGACGAAAGGAACCCACTGTTATCGAAGATGCTAATTAAATGGCTACTAGCAAATTGCAGACTTTTCAGTAAATGTTGCTGCTGAATTAATTACGCAGAAACTTCAAGCATTAGGCATTGATTTCACATTATTACCTGTGCTTTCTCTCTCATTGAGAACCATCAGGAAGCATTTTATTTACTAACTAAATAAACCTGATTTAGGGCCACAATACCCCGAGGACACGACTTACCTTTGGGCTGCTTTAATTCATGAAATACTACGATGTCATGAGGATTATTGAGATTTTCTGCCAAAATGGAGATGTCCAAGCCATTCAGCCTGTTTGCGCTGAAGATTGCTTCATTCTCCAAGTCAGTCCAGAACACTCTGTCCTGCAGAAAATGCACAGGATTTCTGACCTGGCCCTGCTCAAATCCCACTCAAGTTGGATTAAACTCCAGCAGTCACAAAGTCAATGCGTTGTTCCTACCTTGGAGCACCTTCGGTTCATGCTACTTCTATCTGCAGCTTTTTTCTTTTTTTTTTTTTTTTTTTTTTGGACACTGTTATTTCTATGTTTAAAAGCACAGGATGGGGAATGCAGAATTCCGAATGCATGCTTAGCATGAGATACAAACTGCAAGGAAGCCATTAGCCCTGGACCCTGCCCAGGTAGCTGTGTATAAACTAATGGCAGAAACATGGATGCCCATTTCTGCAGATCTCAGCAAGCCTTAGTTCTTCCTTGATGACATTTGAGGATCTGAACTGTGCTATTTAATTAATTACTGCACTGCTCTTAGTAAGGCAGCAGTGTGACACTGAATGGTACAAGAGTACTGAAACTACAAGACTAATAGGGTTCTCCATGGAATGTACTCAAGTGGAGTTGGAAGCCTAACGTCTTTGTGAAAATAGACTTATGTCTTTCTAGGATCACAGCTATGTTTTTTTGGGGCAGGGAAGTTTCTCTGATGTGTGGCAGGGTTTCTGTTTCATAACTGGAGCAGTTCAGCCTGAAAGAGAGTTATCTAACCCTGTCAGAACTAGGTGAACAAGCACCTTTTTAATGCCAAGTCCCCAGCCTCAGCAATGGTGCACAGTGACTGCAGGGGGAGCCCAGCAAGTGCCTTGCTGGCACAGATACTCCCAGCTGAAGCCTTGAGACTCCTGAGACAGGTGAAAACGCTTCTGAGGATACTTCTGCAGATGTCAGGATGGACAACAGAAACAACTACCCAGCGCAGCAAAATATAAGGGGCTGTTCTCCCTGGAGGGTTCTGTTGGCATCAGAAAATGCAACACAGGTAAGCAAAGATGGTGTGAAACAAAGCTGCTGAGAGCAGCAGTGTGCTCCACTGCAGACTGCGAGGTTGTCTGAGCCCATGCAGATCCCCTCAAAGTCCAACTTTCAAAAGACGAGAGAGGTGTTGCAGTGTCACTCAGTGAAGGACTGTCCCACCTGCTGATCACAGTAAGTGGCTTCTCCCTTCCTTTGATAATAGTTTTGGCCTTTGTGTGGACAGTTGCTTCAATTAAGATCAAGTAAAACCTGTTACCAGTTCTCCAGTTCTGTGGGAGGTGTTATGCTGGGCACCACCAGCCCCCCTCACGGATCACTGGCACTGCATTAGGTAATAACATGAGATGACACATTGCTACTGATTAAGGGCTTTAG